AAACTCCTTATCCAGAAGCAAACTTCTCCTCCTTCCAAAGAGCTATAGTGTAAACACTTGAAGGTTTCCTTGCCTCAAGTACCACACCACGTTGAAGGATATAACTTTTAATCAAACTTCTTGATTAAAAAGGGGGTACATCAACTTTCTTACAAGTTGATCTTGCAAGTCCTATTGTTCGGATCTTGCAGTTGTTGAAAAAGCGTTACCTTCGAAGAAACAACAAAGCCAGCACGAGTGCAGTAGCAACATTGGCCTTGCGAAGATATACCGTGCAAAAATTCACACAAGTGTAATTGTTGGTTCATTATTCAACAACCAACTACATAGTGGATTTTGAAGACGTAGAAGGATTACCCCACCTTCGAACCTCGTTAAAGTTTGTGTGTCTCTCTCTTTTATCTTTACTCATACTTGCTACTATATTAACTATGAAAACTAACCCATCCATATTGCTATTCACCCCCCCTCTAGACTTTGTATCTCACCACTTTGGGACCACCATCTTCACCGGTTGGTGGGAGGTCCCGGTCAGTAAAGACAATCGGTTCCCTCCTGGTTTGCTTACGCCTGGCCGGTTCAGCACTTACTTCACCGACGTAAATGCTGCGGACCTAATTTTTCTGTTGTGCGGCTGAATCTCCACCTTCAGGTCCGCCGAAGATCATGCCAATATGCTCTTTCTCAGGAGCAGGTTGCTTCTCCCTTTGCCGGTTGTTCCTCCGCCGATCATTATCCCGGTCATTCCCCTGGGCTGTGGGCCTGACCCATTGGTGGCTCTTCTCCTGGGATTTTTGCAAATAATCTTTGCCTAGTTCTCCGCTGTCTATCATTTGCCGGATGACTCCCTTAACACTCTTGCATTCGGAAGTGTTATGGGAATCAGACCTATGGTATGAACAATAGGTGCCCGACCATTGTCGTCCTGTTGACCGCTAGGGTTTTCCGGAGGAGTGACCGGTTCTTTCCTTATCTCCTAGCATTCTTCTGTGTTGACCATGCGGACGACCGGGTCATAATGGTGCCTTGGCCGGCTAGGACCCAGTGCTTCTTCCTTCTTAACTTGCACCGGCTTGGGCTTGAAGCCATGCTCAGCTTCCTTCTTCGCCCGAAATTGGGTTTCAGCCTCAGCAAACTACCATGCAGTGTGGTAGGCCTCTTGATCCGTGGCCAGGGGTTTCCGGCAGAACTCCTTGTATAGTTCCCCGACACGTAAGCCATTCAAGAGAAGGGACAACACCGTCTTGTCGTCCATCTCTTCTACCTTGTCTACCTTTTCCTTCCACCGGGTAAGAAATTGAGTGAGGTTCTCGGATTCCCTTTGCCCGGCTGTACTAAGATAGGTGAATTTCTTCCTCTTAGTACAATTCTCCTTGATCTTGGCCTTGAATTTTGAGGCCAAGTCACTGAATGAATCAATGCTTCCTAGGAGAAGCATGTTGAACCATTCAGTAGCTCGGTTCCGTAGGGTTTGGAAGAAGAGAAGGCACTTTAGTTCATCTGTGCAACCGTTCATGGTTGCACTCTGATTGAAAGAATCCAGATGGATTTCTGAGTCTTCCTTCCCGTTGAATCTAGGGGCGTCAATCTTGACCTTTCGTGGGAAAGATGTCAAATGGACCCTTGTGGTGAACGGGGACCCGGCGAGGGGTTTGTCCCGGTCACTCTTCTCCCCGACCTTCTTCTCCAACCTCTCTAGTTTTGCCTCCATCTGCTGGACGCGATCATTTGGGACAGTCAGCCAGTTAGCCACCAGTCCCCTAGGCTGGCTCTCAGCTTCCTCTTCTTGATGGGAGACCATCGTCTTCGCGGGCTCCTGCCGATTCGACCGGGAGCGCTAGGTACGGGCAAGCTCGGCCTCCCTCCCCTTGCCAAACCAGGCAAACGCGCTGACATGGGCAATGCTCTGCCCCAGCCTCAGTTTTGCTGACTTTCTCTGGCCTTCTTCCCTATCCCCCATCCTTTCGAAGGCGGAGTTTTTGGAAGTTGCTGGCCGAGCGTTTTTTCCTTTCTTCTTTTTGTGGGCCCTCGAGATGTCCCACTCGTCGTCACCGCTCTGAACTAAGACGCAATGACCATCAGGAGTGACCTGCGGATTTGTACCCTGTGGAGGGCGTGACGGCCCAGTGGCGTTAAGCGCACCGGTCAAGTTGATGGGAGCCACGGTACTGACCATCTGAGGTTGGAAAGGTGATGGCTATGGTACCGGCGTCTGCAATGGCGACACTGCCATTAGAGTTTCAAGGGGCATCGTCCCAGCGCCTGGAAGAGCGAATGGAAACATGCCTGGGAGGAATGGCATCCCCCCATTCTGCTGACACATGGCCATGACCTCGCCAATGTTAGAATAAGAGACTAACGCTAGAGGGGGGTGAATAGCGTTTGATCAAAAATTGCAGGAATAAAAAATGAATAAACGACAAGTAAAGAGAAAAGTAAGAGGCACACCGATTTTACCCTGGTTCACCACAACTTGTGGCTAATCCAGCCTCCCGAGGGACTCTCTCGAGCTACACTACTACCTCGTTAAGCTTAACGGTGCTTAACAAACCCGTACAACTTGAGAATTCGAGTCACACGAACCTCAACGAACCTTCGAAGGAAACAGCCCTTCCTTCGAACAACAAGAGAAATACCTTCTCTTGTCAAGTGTTTAAGAACACTAAAAACACTCAAGAACAATACTCTCTTTTAGAG